AATGTGTAGTTTTAAGTCCAATTGTTGTATTCCAACTTCCACTTTCGACCATCCAGATCTCTCTGGTCTGCTTTCTGTCCCAGAGTTAGAACTCAACCTGGAGAAGTTCAGTTATTATGCTCCAAATATCTGGAACAAACTCCCAGAACCTGCCGGCCCGCTGCAACTCTGACTACTTTTAAATCCAGACTTTTCTTTCTGCCTCTGCTTTTAATTGAACTATTCATATCTTAAACTGCACTGTAACTTTTATCCATGTATTCTTTTGTAATGTTTATTTTATTATCGTTGCTTTTTAATGACTTTCATTGTTGTAAAGCACTTTGAATTGCCTTGTGTTGAAAAGGTGCTGTATAAATTAACTTGCCTTGCCTATTTTAATATGTATATGTTTTTGGCTAGATAACCATGGTTGGGGATCTGAAACACGGCCGCACGGTTCATTCCCTCGCCAAACTGCTGACTCAGTACCGCATCACGCTGCGCTACGTCGCTCCCAAGAACCTCCACATGCCGGCAGAGATCATCAGCTACGTGGCCTCAAAGGGCATCAGACAGGTGCGCACTAAAATCAAGAGTCAAGGCTTTTATTGTCATGTGTACAGAGCTACAGTGTAGATATATCACTGAAGATCTGAGGTCACAGGCTCCTCCAACAGTGCAACACAATACAACAGATAAAATATTGCAAGTAAATACGAATATAATAGAATATAAATAGTGCAAGGAGAATCTATATACAAGTAATTGGGATATGATATATTAGTAAGTTGCAGACAGATGAATGTTATGGATGTTCTTTTCAAAAGTTCAGGTGTTTAACAGTCTGATGGCCTTAAATATGTTTATACAGTATTACAAGTTGATATAATCAGATGTGTTTTGTGGTTTAAATAATTGTTCAAAATGGTGAAAAGATGCTGTGTTCTTCCCTGTGTGCAGGAGGAGTTTGAGAGCATAGAGGAAGCTCTGCCTGAGACCGACGTCCTCTACATGACGAGGATCCAGAAGGAGAGGTTCGCTTCTGAGGAAGAGTACAAGGCTGTAAGTCAAGTTCATTTCATCAACTTTCTTTCTCTAGTAAGGTAGACACATAGTCCTTATGCCTCTTTATGAAATATCTGAGTAATATAAGACTAAATCCACTTTTTGGAGTTGGTAAACGACATGTAAAGTCATTTTTTGTACACTATTTGATCCCACTTTACAGGTTTTTTTGCATAGAAGGTACTTTTTCCAGACAAACTGCCGTATTTCTATCTGACCACAAAAAAAAACTCTACGTAAGCTTGTAGTCTACAGCATTAATGAATATTGACTATATAGGATTTAGCAGTTTTGTGAAGGTTGTGGTTCAAGCTATAACAGATTGTTTAAATTGAATGACCCCCACCTTGCATTTACATGTGAATTGTTAGTTAAATATAAGATCTAAGACACTAGTTTTTCTAGGCTAGAAGGTTTTTTGCTGTTCCCCTGTCAACCAAGCCATGTGTTATTATAATTTATTCTGAATGTGTGTGTTTATTCTTCCTCAGTGTTTTGGCCAGTTCATCCTCACCCCTCACATCATGACTGTAGCCAAGAAGAAGATGGTGGTCATGCATCCTCTGCCCAGAGTCAATGAAATCAGGTGAGGCTCAATCAGTAGCATTATATCAATCTTATTTATTTTGTTCTAACTTCTTATGAGCAATTTAATGCTTTGGAGATTTCTATTTAGTTCTTCTTATCGCTTCCGCCTCTACAAAATGTCACTGGGATTTTTTTGTTTGTTGATAATCTCCACATATTAACACCGCTTTGATTGTTAAAGCGTATATGCAATTGCCAGGAGTTAAAAGCTAATGTTGGGCTATAAAGGAACTACAGCACGGTCACATGACTTCACGTCACCACCGCTAAGCTAAAGGAGGCTAATATTGGGCTATAAAGGAACTACAGCACGGTCACATGACTTCACGTCACCACCGCTAAGCTAAAGGAGGCTAATGTTGGGCTATAAAGGAACTACAGCACGGGCACATGACTTCACGTCACCACCGCTAAGCTAAAGGAGGCTAATGTTGGGCTATAAAGGAACTACAGCACGGTCACATGACTTCACGTCACCACCGCTAAGCTAAAGGCGGCTAATGTTGGGCTATAAAGGAACTACAGCACGGTCACATGACTTCACGTCACCACCGCTAAGCTAAAGGCGGCTAATGTTGGGCTATAAAGGAACTACAGCACGGTCACATGACTTCACGTCACCACCGCTAAGCTAAAGGAGGCTAATGTTGGGCTATAAAGGAACTACAGCACGGTCACATGACTTCACGTCACCACCGCTAAGCTAAAGGAGGCTAATGTTGGGCTATAAAGGAACTACAGCACGGTCACATGACTTCACGTCACCACCGCTAAGCTAAAGGTGGCTAATGTTGGGCTATAAAGGAACTACAGCACGGTCACATGACTTCACGTCACCACCGCTAAGCTAAAGGTGGCTAATGTTGGGCTATAAAGGAACTACAGCACAGTCACATGACTTCACGTCACCACCGCTAAGCTAAAGGCGGCTAATGTTGGGCTATAAAGGAACTACAGCACGGTCACATGACTTCACGTCACCACCGCTAAGCTAAAGGCGGCTAATGTTGGGCTATAAAGGAACTACAGCACAGTCACATGACTTCACGTCACCACCGCTAAGCTAAAGGAGGCTAATGTTGGGCTATAAAGGAACTACAGCACGGTCACATGACTTCACGTCACCACCGCTAAGCTAAAGGAGGCTAATGTTGGGCTATAAAGGAACTACAGCACGGTCACATGACTTCACGTCACCACCGCTAAGCTAAAGGAGGCTAATGTTGGGCTATAAAGGAACTACAGCACGGTCACATGACTTCACGTCACCACCGCTAAGCTAAAGGCGGCTAATGTTGGGCTATAAAGGAACGACAGCACGGTCACATGACTTCACGTCACCACCGCTAAGCTAAAGGCGGCTAATGTTGGGCTATAAAGGAACTACAGCACGGTCACATGACTTCACGTCACCACCGCTAAGCTAAAGGAGGCTAATGTTGGGCTATAAAGGAACTACAGCACGGTCACATGACTTCACGTCACCACCGCTAAGCTAAAGGCGGCTAATGTTGGGCTATAAAGGAACTACAGCACGATCACATGACTTCACGTCACCACCGCTAAGCTAAAGGCGGCTAATGTTGGGCTATAAAGGAACTACAGCACGGTCACATGACTTCACGTCACCACCGCTAAGCTAATGTTGGGCTATAAAGGAACTACAGCACGGTCACATGACTTCACGTCACCACCGCTAAGCTAAAGGCGGCTAATGTTGGGTGTGATGACATTTAGTCGTCTAATTTAGACACTTGTTAGCAACTGCCGTTTTAAAATTACCCAGTGGGGTATTTACTGATGTAGCTTATGTCAGTATAACAAAGGCATTAAACTCTCTTCAGCTTGTGTTAACTACAGACATTATTTTAGGCTTCTAACCAAAAATAGGTTAAATAATCAATCGATTTAGAGGTTTAAAACTCAATATGCACCATTTATCTCACTTCCTCTTGTGTCTCCTTTGTGTTTCTCCCTCAGTGCGGAGGTGGACACCGACCCCCGGGCGGCATATTTCCGTCAGGCGGAGAACGGGATGTACATCCGGATGGCGCTGCTGGCCACCGTGCTGAGCAGATAGATCCCCACGCTGCCTGTTTATCGCACAAATTGGAAATATTTGTAGAATAACTCGTGTTAGACACTGCGTTTTCTTTCCTGAAATCTGTGGCTTTCTTGTTTCCAGTCCTTTAACATTGAGCTGGTACAGTTAAATGCAGCAATAAGCCATAAAGTGATATTATACTGTTACATTATGCTGCTTTCCATACGTTCAACTAGGCACTATTTGCTTTTCTTTTTGATATTACCTTCAAAATTACTGCTTTCTTTCACAGCAACGTGGTTTTCTTGTGCTGAGACACACTTTTCTATTAATTAAGATGCTTCTTAGAAATATTCCAGATGCTTTTTTTGTACGAGTGAGAATTTCTTGTTTTGTTTGTTTGTTGACAATGGTTAAGTATTGGCAGTATTTGTGCATCATTGAGCCTTGGAAGAAAAAAGGTAGACATTTCAATCATAACATCCATGTTACTATGATGTTTGGTGTTGATGAAATAACTGTGTTGGTAGCTGGGTAAAATGTACTGACATTAAAAGGGACAACACTTTGTAAGGGATTGCTCTTTTCTGACCCATAATAATAGTATTTACTAATGTCTTCTATACTGTTTCTTTACCTCAATGTGTCGCACTACCTGAAAGTGGAAACGCACATTCTCTCAAAGCATGGTTTTTGATCATTTAGGGTCATTCCGTATTATTCCGTAGCAGTGTAGAGTCTTTGTATTGTGTAGAAATAAATAATAAAAACATATTTCCTTTTGCATTTCATATTGTCATTAATATCCATCATTTTAAGAAACACAACCATAGCCGTCATGAATCACTGAAAGCTATTTTACAAAAGAAAATATATTGAGAATTCATGCAACATCAAAACAAAAATAAATGACACAAATAAAAATATGTAAACATATTTAAAACGTCACTGTCTCTATTAATACTTTGCAGATGTAGTTAGAAACACTTGTTTTTGTGAGTTAGGTAAGGTAAGGGTATTTATATACCACATTTTCAGGCAATTCAAAGTGCTTTACATAATCTTTAACACTTAATAAGAAGACAACAGAAAGGAACACAATAAATAAACATCATGGAATAACAGGTTCATAAAAGAGATGCAGAATAGTTTAAAAACAACATTGTAAATACAGTAGGTGCTAAAACAAGTTAAAAGACTTCTGGGTAAGCAGATGAAAAAAGTAATGTTTTTAGCCTCGACTTAAAGGTGGGGATTGTATTGTAGGAAACCTTGAAAGCAACATTCTCGCTTCTTTATTCTCAGAGGGTGGTATCAGCCAATCAGATCGCAGAGCTCCTGCAGACAGCCACACACGAAGAAGAAGGAGAAAAGGAAGAAGAAGAGGCGACCCGGCGGCCACACTATTCATTCATAACCCCATCCTTTAACTGAGGACTAAGACATTCAACCGGATGCCTCTATGATCCAGCTAACCCTACAGCGAGATATACAGTGTTCAGTTTTCACAAGGTAAGGCTATTTCTGCGGTATTAAAGCAGCTAGCATGGTGTTAGCTAACCGTGCATTGCTGTCATCGTCACGAGCGCCAAACTCCATTCATAAATATGGCAATTTAACGTCGGGTTGCTTCTCATTGTAGGCAGCAAAACGAGAGAAATTAATGATTATTTAATGATTTTTAGATATGCTTTAGGATGCGTTTGTATCTGAGACTTGTCAAAACAACATTTAAAACGTATTTTTATAGGTAGCATTATTATTCTGGAGGGCGGTGGCAGCTAACGAGATGTAAAAACGACTGTAAATTAGGATTTGTAGTTATTTGTCTTCTTCTTTTTGCGCCGAATTGTAGTTTAATCAAAGAAAACATGTACCATAACATATGCAATGGTTATTTTGAACATGCAGGCGAGAAAAGATTAAATTGCCATAATATTCAATGCAGTTTGGTGCATCTTTATCTCACGCTACAGTGGAGTCTGGGCTAATTCTTGCTAGCAGTGAACAGTGGTGTACTGTACCTAAGTAACATTTCAGGGACTTGTACCCTACTTGATTATTAACTTTTTTTGATACTTTCTACTTCTACTACACTACAATTCAGAGGTAAATGGTGTACTGTTACTCCACTACATGTGTTTAATCCCTTTAGTTACTTTACAGATTTGGATGAATGATGAAATCTAATCAAGTGTTAAATCAGACTTTAGTTCCACCTGGAGTAAATCCACCAGCTACCCTGCAGTATACAAAGCCATTCAAACTAGCTGCACCTTCACCAGCTTTGAGAACACTTTCATGATCAATCATTATAAAACATATCATATATATTATTCTGAAATGGACCAATCTGCACAATGAGCACTTTTACTTTTGGTACTTTAAGTATATTTTGACGCTAATACTTTTCTACTTTTACTTAAGTAACATTTTGAATGCAGGACTTGTACTGTAACAGAGTATTCCTACACTCTGGTACTTCTACTTTTACTCAAGTACAATATAACTGGAGATCTTCTTTCCTTTTGAACATTTACACACAGTGTCTTGCCTTTAATTAACCCCCATTTACGCATGAAATGTCTCATATAACATGTAGTTTAGTCATTTGTAGCTGTCAACACCGGGGTCAGAATGTCAGTTTGATTAGGAAGAGGGAAATAAGTTATGACAGAACAAGAAGGGTTTTTAAGTTAAACGATAATCGTACAAGTGTTCCCTGTGCCATGTTTTTATGAATGTCTGGGTGTAACATAGAAAGTAGTTCTCCATGTGCACGAGGAGATTAGCAGAGGATTAGGGACAAGGACAAACAGACGACAATCACGAGGCATTACTTCTTCCGTCACACTGGACCAAAACACTAGCCATTTCTAGAATAACTTTATTAAGTCACCTACAAATGGTGCTGTTATTTATTAAGCAGAGAGATACAGATTGTAAAGTACAGTCACATCAAAACTTGAGGAGAAAAAGAAAACATTGTCCCAACAAGAAGTACTCGTAGACGAAAATCTCTGTTTATCTTGGTATATATAATATGGTTTGTATGGCACTTTTTATACAATAATAAAGGCAGCTCAAAATACCCTAAAGTAAGGATAATACTTACATGATGCTTGACATTAAAAAGGTAAACAATGAACATGGGATGCTATCATTTTTTGGAATTAGCATGGGGAAATAACACACCCTGCATGATAAGATATAAATAATGTTAAATATAAAACATAAGATGCTTAAAAGTAAACATAAATACATGTAAAAAATAAGTGCAGCAGCGCATTAGTATGAAGGAGAAAAGAACAAAAGAGTGTCAGGCCTGTATCATAAAAGAAATATGTGGCCCTGTAGTCCTGCATTTCAAATGTTACTTAAGTAGGGTAGGTAAGAATGGAGAAACCATGGCCCCTTCTCAGGTCGGTTAAATGGAATCCTTGCGTCCCTCACTTGCGTCGTTTCCCTGCCTCTAGTCCCTCCCACCAGGGAAGCATGGAGGGACGCAAGGAAACCACGAGAAGCAGGGAAATTAGTTTTAAGAGCAATGGGACGTCCTTTCCTCCGGAGCGTCACGTCCGTTTGTGATGACGCTGCACAGCTGATCGTCTGACAGCAGCTCGTCTGACAGCAGCTCTGTCCCCGTTATTTCCACACACCCCCGCCTCTGTTAGTACACATTTACTGACATATACATTTGTATCATCTGTTGTAGACCCCAATACATTAAATAAAGTAAGAACTCATTCTCAAAAAAGATAAACGCCATTCTTAAAATGTATAAACGAACAATAGTTTGATTAATATTGATTAGAGTACAATAGAAATAAAATAATTGAGAGAAGAAAAAGAGATATGTTATCTATCAAAACCCAGTTAGATTAACATTCATTGGATGCACACTTTGTTTGTTTGTGTGGATATGTAGCACATTAACATTTTAATAGCACTTAATGACTGAATGGAAATGACAATAAATGAAAATGTAAAACGAAAAAAGCGATCATGAAAATGTTTCCAAAAAATGAATAAAATGATTTTTGACCACTTTGTTGTTGTTGTTCAGATATATCACATATTTGTAACTAAATGATACATTAATTGAAACAAAACACGGTATAAACTGAGGAGTGACTCCCGTGAGGTTCATGTATTTTCTTCACTCTGCTCTCATGTCAAGAAGCATCAGATCAGTGCATGCACTGCCTCGTCCAATCAGTGAGCGATACACAGTAAGGGGGCGGGGCGAGTATCTGAGGATTTCATCGGAGGATGGTCTGGTGGTTCCTCGGTTATCGCTCCTCCATTCTCGCTCCTCGATCCTCGGTCCTCCGGCAGAAATAAGAGCCATGGGACGGTACTCAAGATGGCGCAGACAAATCAACGTCCGGTGAGACCGAGGACCGAGGACCGAGGACCGAGGAGCGAGGAGCGAGGAAATGAAAATAGTCGACCTGAGACGGGGCCTAGCTCGAGTGCGCTAGAATTTGAAAATACACAGCCGTAAAAAATCTGCCCCTTCCTTCAGACTTCCTTACAGAGCCCCTCCTCCAACACACACGAACGCGCACATGACCAATGAGGGCACGAGATGAGTTAGTGCCCAGATGGAAGGCTGACAGGCAGGTAGGCCATCCAGTTACTTTAGCCAGGCCGGCTCAGATGATTGGTCGTGCTTTTTACAGCGCCACAGCTTCCACAGATGACATTTTGTTATGTATTTATTGTGAAAGCATTTAATGTATTCATTGCTGTCGGGATGTTAAGAGCATTCCATGGAATATAACAAGTGTTTCTGAAGTGAATTACCTACCCCACCTTTAAGTATAATTAAAAGCATTAATTTACCTAAAAAGTAGCCTACTCCTTATGCAGAATTGCCCTTTTCAGAATCATCTATATGCTTCTATTACATTATAAGTAATTTAATAATTTAATTGTAATCGTTTATTTGAACCGGGACAATGATGAACACTTTAAACAAAATAATGCTTTCACATGGAAATGAGCCGGATGTTTAGCTTTGAGCTCATTTCCATCCGTAGTCCCGTCACATACAACATGTGAACATGACAGTTATAAACATGGCAAAAATAAATACAGGATATGCAGAAAGACCAAGAGCAGCATACACACGCATTTACCACAAGGCAGTACAATGTAGCAGCTACGACATATAAAGTGCAAGCGATGATACAAGAGCTATCTAAAGTACAAGAGGAGATACCCCTGTGTTAAAGTGCAGTTAGCGGTGACCGCACGTCTGGTTGTTTCTCAACCATTCTTTGAGTTGACCTTTGAAGCTATTGAGAGTGGGACGATCCCGTATCTCAGTTGGGAGGCTGTTCCAGAATGAGCTGCCTTTAATGGAGAGGACACTTTGTCCAAAAGTGGTCCGTCTGCGGTGGACTTCAGTCTCCTCTGGTTTCTGACCTCGTGCAGCGTCCAGTGTGTTTTCTGTGGATGAATTCCCTAAGGGAGGGGGGGGGGAGGGGGGGGGGCAGTCCATGTAACCATTTATAAAAAATATACATACTTTTAAAAGACTTCAAATTGCCAAAACTCAAGAAATGGTGTTTAGGATGGTACAGTGGTGGTATGAATGTTGCTTTCTGTCAAACACAGCTGTTCTCTGGGTTTCAGCTTTGTGGCTCAAGCAAACGACCAAACAGTATTCAATGTGGGTCCTGTATCATTGTTATAAACTAGTTATGGTTGAAGTGGCTGTCTCTGATTTAATGGTACCAAATGTCCTTTATCCAGGTTGTTTGTGTACATTTTTAAAACAGATTTTGTGACCTTATTATGTAATTTGCTCAGATGTGTGACCTCTCATGATGCTCTTTCTTCAACAACTTAATTCAGCTCACAAATGGCACTGTTCCTGCTAAAGTCAGAATTACTTATATTTGATATACCTGACATGACGAGTAGATTGTCTATAAATGGAATATTTGACAGCAGTTCAATTTCATTTTTAGTGTTATCATTTGTAAGTTACCATGACGCCCACACACTGCTGTGGGATTTTTGAATCTGAGTTTCTGATGTCTTATTGAGCCTGAAGCCTTTTTCTACAGACAGCTGTTATCCCTCATGTTTGCAGATTGGATGCGATGAGATCAAGACAAATGCGCTTCTCATTTGAGTTTTGCCACCTTTGACTATAAACAGATGCAGCGTCATAGTTTTAAGAGTCTATTTGGGGTTTCTGTCTGCTCCTGATTCAGACTGGATGTGTTTATGGCCTCAGATTGAACTCCTTTACTTCTCCAACACTCAAATGAACATTTACAAGATAGCTCTAAATCCACTGATATGTCAAACATCTTAAATGAGAGTGAAGCTTTTGTTATTGGGGGGGGGAAGGGGGTTGTCCGGTGCCTTGCTCAAGGGCACCACGGCAGGGCAGGAGGTGAACTGGGACCTCTCCAAGTAGCAGTCCTCCACACTCCATATTTTAGGTCTGTTCGGCTCACAGTCCAAGCCCCTACCCACTGAGCCACTGCCGG